ACCCAAGCACGCACATGCTTGCACGCGCGCACACACACACACACAGAGTGGAGGGTCCTGAGGCCGGGAAGCAGTCCCTCCCACGACTCACAGGCAGGCAGGGCTGCTACAGTGGCGGTGACCAGGCTCCGGATGCCCAGGGTGCTGAGGGCGCCACGCAGGAGGCCGCAGGTGAAGACCAGGAACTGAGGGGAGAGGTCACCGTGGAAAGAGGGCGGGCTGGTGGCCAGGATGGGGCCTCGTCAGACTTGGGGCTCACAGGGCCCAGGCCTTGGGCACCCTCTGGCTTGGGGTGAGGGTGGGGAGGGGGACGTGGTACCCAGCACCCTCCCCCCATACCACACCTTGGGTGCCTCCTCCAGGTACTGCACGCCCGAGGCCATCCGGACCAGGAGGGGGAAGTCGTCGTCCTGTAGGACGTAAGTCCCCTGTGGGCAGAGGCGCAGGGGCCAGAAGGACCCTTCTGTCACAGCCACTGGGCCCTGGGGCTGTGGGACAGGAGGACAGAAAAGGAAAACAGCCCCTGCCTCCTGGGGGGCGGGGGGAGCCCAGCAGGGGCCCCTCGGGGGACTCTGGACGGGGCTGAGACGAGGTGCCTCGTGCTCGCTCGGGTGGTGCTGCCAGCCACCAGGGGCCTCCTGTCGACCCTGGGGCTCACCTGGGCAGCTGGGGGCACTCAGGTCCCCTCAGTGCAGGGAAAAGGCCGCCTGGGATGTGGATGCCCCAAGCCCTTGTCCCGGAGCTAAGATGGGGCCCCGCCTCGGCTCCCAGCTCTGGGCAGGTCCCCGGCGGGCCAGCTGAGCCTGCTGCACTGTCGGGTCCCCTCCCGTGCTTCCTGGTTTCCCTGCCAGGAAGCCCGCGGAGCAGGGAGGGCCGGGGCCTGGGGCTCGCACCTGGTGGTTGGTGCGAAGGCTGCCCATGTGCTTCTGGAACACGGCTGCCCACACATCCTTGCAGAGGAATTTGAGGGCGTCCAGCTCCTCCCTGAAGGCCAGGGTGTCCCGGGGCAGCCTGGGGGTGAGGGAGAGGGAGGAAGCCAGGCCTGTTCCTGGCCCGGGTGGGTGTGTGCAGGAAGGAACCCAGCCTGGGGGGCCCGCCACCCCCACCAGCTCTTACCTCTCACCCAGAGCTTGCCCCACGCGGAAACCCATGCTCTCAAGGACGGACAGGCTTGTCTTCTGTCCCTAGAAGGGCAGGGGACAGGAGATTCAGGGCGTGCCCGCTGCAGTGGCTGAAGAGAGCTAAGACCACCTTGCCCAGCCGGTCAGTTCAGGTCAGTTCAGGGTCAAGGAGGCCGGGTGGGAGGGGCTGCCCTGGGCTCAGCAGGCCGATGCAGGTTTGAGGCCCAGGCCACCTGTGCCCCTGTGCCCTGACGCGCCTGTGCTTCCTGTTTGAGTCCCCACGCTCCCACCCCATCAAGTCCTCAGGACCAGTGCAGGGCACATGGGCCCTCCCCCGGGCTCGTCTCAGCCCTGCCCAGCAAGGCGTCATGAGAACTCCACACTGACATGCCATCGGTGTGGGTCCTCAGCACCCGAGGTGACTGCCCAGGGCCCCCCCCAGTGAGCACGGGGACCGTGAGGAGCGTGCTGGGTGCCACTGGAGGCGTGGCCTACGCTGCACCGTCGCCACGGGGCGCGCAAGTTCCGGAGGGCAGAGCCCACGCAGCCCTGGGCTCGGCACACCTTACCGAGCAGAGGCTGGACCACACAACCAGACACTGGGCTTCGGTCACCCACTGTGTCCCGAGGCCTTACAGATACCCCTTCATTTAACAGCCCAGTAATTTCACACCCGCAGATTGGGCTCAGAAGGGTTGTAGGAAACCTGCCGAAGGCTCACCAAGCCACCAGGCAGGTCCAGCTCCACAGCCTGGTGGGGTCACAGGCAGCAGTGGGCTGCTGCGCACCATGACCCCGGGGCAGTGCGGCCGCCCGGCAGGCACCCTGGGAGCCAGAGGCCTGAGCAGAGGGGTCCCTCTTCTCCCACTGTGGGTTCCTCACTTGAGAGGACACCGAGCCCAGGGGCTGACACAGCTGCCGGCTGGACGACACTGGCAGACTCTGGTGTCACCAGCTGGCTTTGCTCGTGTTTCCTCAGAGCTGCCACACGGGGCAGGTGACTAATGGGGTGAGGGGGACGGTTCAGGCATCCGCGGGTGACAAGGGGCAAAGGTGGTATGTGGGAGACCCTGCCCTGTGCGCCCCTCTGCTGCCAGCACTATCCGATCACCAAGTGTAGGTGCTCCGGGCCCAGGTCCACCCCTGCCTCTGAGTGGCCGCTCTAGCGGGGCAGTGCGCAAGAACTAGTGATGCAAGTAATGATTTAATTACAATCGCGGCAGCTGCCAGGACGGAGAAATGGCCTGCCGAAAAAGTGCTCGCCAGGGACTTCCCAGAAGTCTGGAAGCGGATGATGTCTGCCCGCGTCTGGAGGAGAGGCCAAGGCAGCGGCGGGGTGGGGTAGGAAGCCTCTGGGCCCGGGAGGCACCTGGGAGGAGGGCCTGTGTAGGGCAGAAGAGGGGGGTGGGCGCAGGACGGGGCCAGAGGACCAACAGGGTCCACCAGCCCCCCCAGCTGAGAGCCTGGAGGAGCGTCCCGGAGGGTTTCCTGCAAATTCAAGTTCTCCTTCAGTGAACTTCCGGTGCCCTGGTTGGCCTGGCCCTTCCAGCCATGGTCTCTGTGACGCCTACCAGGTGACGGAGTGGGACTACGCACGTGAGGTGCTTGTGGCCACCAACGGAACTGGCCAGCTTGCTAATAATGTAAATGAGGTACAAGGCACCCTTGTGTGGGTGGGACCATGCAAATAAGGCATGGAACCCCGACGTGGGGATTGGTCAGTTTCGCCACGCCACTAGGCTTACAGTGTGCCAGCCCAGAGGTAGAAGGGGTGGGCGTGCAGCTCTCACTACCATCAAGAAAGAAGAGCCGGAGCGGGGTGCATCCTTGAACCCAGAATCCCTGCACTGAACCTGCTGAGCCCAACAGAGCTGGGCAACAGCAGCAGCGGCAGGAAGACGGTGGCGGCAGACCCAGGAGACCGGCAGGAGGCGGTGCCCCCCCCAGGAAGACAGGCAGGGGGCTTACTGGCGGAGTGGGCGCCTCTGGGCGTCTACCGGCAGAACTAAAGGAGCTTCCTGACACCTGCCCGAGGAGGGCGGCCGCTGAGGGGCCACGGCGCTGAGAGGCCAAGGACCGAGAGGTGCCTGCCTACGGACACAGTTGCTAAGAGGCTGTCCTGCCTGAAGGCCTGTGTCCTGGGTCGTTTCTGATCCTGAGCTGTACCCTGTCACTGCCCTAATAAACCCCATAATCGTGACTATGGTTCGTGAGTTGTATGTGGCCACTGCAGTGGGTTATCGAACCCAGCAGAGGAGAGTGTGGTGGGAGGGACGCTGATGTCCGGACTGGGGAGAACGGTTGGGGGGTGGAGGAGTGTCTGACCGCCCCCTCCCAGGAACCAGCCTTGGGCTGATTTGACCCTCCCCCTGTCTGTGGAGCTACCAGGAGGCCAGAGGCCGTCTCCTAGCCATTTCTATGCTGGGTTGGCACCTGGCGCCGCCCTTTACTAAATCCACAGCCCTGAGCTAGTGATCTAACTGTGCAGTGCCTCAGTTTCCCCATACGGGACAGGGTGCGTGGCAGTGCACTGTGAGGCTGCGTCTGCTATCCGGGTAAAGCACTCCTAGGACCCAGCCCAGTCCACAGCCACGGTCACTCTCGGGCCCCCACCAACAGGGACCAGCTCAGTATCTGCTGAACTACAGAGACAGGGGCAGTGGGACTGCGGGGGAGACAGGCAAAAGGATGAGGAAAGAGGTCACAGGAGGGCAGGGGCGGAGGGTGAGAAGGTCCCGGGAGGAAGGGGCGGAGGAGGAAGAGACAAGACACCAGCCCTGCCTCCATCACAGTCTGTCTTTGGTGTCCACACCTGAGTCCCTACAGAGCTTTGCAGAGATTAGGGGACTGTCATTCTCATGAAAGGTGGGGACTGTCCCATTCATAGGGATCCTCCAGAATGCAGCCTAGAGCCCGCAGGCCTGGAGCTCACCACACCCGCCTGTGCCCTGTTTACAGAGCTGAGCGGAAATGGTGACAGGAGGGATGGAGGAGAAGCCCGGAGCCCGACCAGGGTCTTCAGCTCGGCACCAGCGGCAGCCACAGCACGGCACGGCTCCCAGGAGCGAGGCGCGATGGGAGAAAAGGAGCGCTCTTGGAAATGGAAACAAGAATAAGCGCGGACTACAGACCCATCTGTAAGCTAGAGAAAGCCTCCGGCTCACCGAAAAATAACACGGCGGGAAGATGTGGGGGAAGAGTTCTGAGACACAGAGATCCAGAAAGCCTAACGATTATCGGGGCGCCAGCAGGACACACGGGGACGGTGCAGGGGACACGGGGATGGTGCGGGACACGGGGCGACGGCGCAGGAGAAGAAATACCCCCAGGAAGAACAAGGAAAACACCGCTGTGGCTAAGGGAGACTGGAGTGTTCAGACGGAAAAGGCCTGCAGGTTCCAGGCAGAGGAATGGAAAAGAAAGAAACCAGGCCTGCCCCCAGACCCTCACGAGAGAGCAGAAGGAGCCTGAGCTGAGGAAGAGAAGGAGCTGGTGGTAGTGGTTGAACGGTCTGCTGCTAACGGTCAGCAGTTCGGACCCACCAGCTGCTCCACAGAAGATGAGGTCGTCTGCTTCCATAAAGACTGACAGCCTTGGAAACCCTACGGGCGGCTCCACTCTGTCCTCTAAGGTTGCTGTGAGTAGGAGTCGACAGCAATGCGTTGAAGAGCCATTAAAGGAAGGTCACCTGCTAACCAAAAGGCTGACAGTTCGAAACCACCAACTGCTCCGTGGAAGAAAGACATGGCAGCCTGCTCCCGGAAGGATGACCACCCCGGGAACCCTACAGGGCGGTTCTACTCGCCACGTCCGAGTCGCCTCGCTTGATGGCACACGAGGGTACACACCTGTGAAGAGTCCCGGGCGGTGCCGACGGCTAACGCACTCAGTGGCTGAGAGACTGCAGGCTCAAGTCCACCTACAAGCGCCTGGGAGGGAAGGCCTGGTGACTCACTTCCAGAAACTCGGCCTAAACCCTAGGAGCACAGGTCTACGCTGACCCTCCTGGGGCACCGTGAGTCAGGGGCCCCTGGATGGTACTAGGTCTTGCCTTTGTTTGGAAACAAGAATTATCTTTATGTTAATTAAGAGTGGGTTCTAAATCTAATCACTTTTGAGTTATAAAAAAGAGCAGAATGGAAACAGACACGCAGACACATCGAAGACGAGGCACCACGTGACGACTGCTATGAGCCAAGGAGCCAAGGAACTCCCGGGGCTACTGCCAAGGAAGGAAGTGACGAGGCCGGACCCTGATGTGGGCCCCAGCCTCCAGAATTGTGAGAAAGTAAGTTTCATGTGGTATGTGTTACAGCAGCATTCGGAAACAGCACTCCCCAATCCATCTTCCACCCCCTTCATCCTGAGCCCCTCCCAGCTCTTTAGTTGTGGCTTGGGATTCCTGCGGCAACAATGCCTCTCCCAGCCCGCCTTCTAATCCAGACTTGTCCAAGGCCAGAGAGGCCCCTCTAGGAAGTTAACCTGCTTCCACACACCGCACCCGAATCTGTGCTTACACTGCCCCAGTTTCCAGCCACCACAGGGGCAGGACCCACCAAAGCTCCAGCCCCTGGCTCCCTGTCCCCAGTGCACTGTACCCGGCTCCACACTCCCCTCCAGGGCCCTCTACCCACAGCCCCTGGCCAGGAATGGGCTGGGTTCCTGCCTCTTGGCTGAGGGCAAGCCCTGTCTATGTTGCTGCTCTGTCCTCCCAGGCCCTCCTCAAGGAAGGTGTTGGTGCTGGGCACTTGCTGGGCCTGGTGGGGGAAAGCCCGACCCCACGGGCTGTCCTGGGGTCTGCCACAGCTCAGATCCCAAAGGCTCCCATTATCTGCGAAGCTTCCCCTTCCTCAAAGGGCTTTTCTGGCTGTAAAAATGAAGGCCATCGGCCTCCTGACTCCTTGGTTGGTGCCATGGATTGAACTGTGCCCCACAAACATATGTGTCAACTTGGTTGAAGCACGGTAATTTGGCAGTTAGGGACTGACACACTCATCTGCTATCTGATGTGATCAGCCCATCAGTTTTAAGAGGATTAGGGTGAAATGCAACACCCTTGCCCAGGTCATAGCCCCGATCTGATGTAAGTGGAGTTCCCCTGGCATGGGGCCTGCATCACCTTTTGTCTTACAAGACTTGAGAGAGAGGGACCTCGGTACCACCGAGAAAAATGAGCCGGGAGCAGAGTGTGTCTTTGGACCCGGGGTCCCTGCGCTGAGAACCTCCCAGACCCAGGAGAAGACTGATGCCAAGACATAATGGGGATCTCCACGGGAGGCAGGGCCCACGGGTGGCTGAAAGGAGACAAGGAACTTCCTTCTGAACTGTGAGTCGACAGACAGAAAAAGCCATCCACTAGAGCTGGCACCCTGAATTCAGACTTCCAACTTCCCAACCGTGAGAAAATAAATTGGTTGGTTCACACCACCCGCTTGCTGTATTTCTGTTATAGCAGCACTACGTACCTAAAGGGAGCTCTGGTGGCATAGTGGCTAAGGCACTTGGCTGCTAACTAGAAGGCTGGCGGTTCAAACCCACCAGCCACTCCTCGGAAGGAAGATGGGGCAATCTACTTCTGTAGTGATACTGCCTTGGAAACCCAAGGAGGGCTCACTATGAGTCGGGTCCGACTCGACGGCACATAACAACAACAACAACAGGTACCTAAAACAACTGGTCTCCCGTTTAACAATTTTCCAGCTGGGGGCTGGCCACTTACCAAACCTCCCTGCAACGACCAGGAATAACCACGAACCAGGCAGGTAGAAGCACTGCCCGTGGCCCCCGGGCATCCAGGCTGCACACAGGCAAATGGGCCACCATCCCCGTCCCCCAGGGGCCAACCTCATGCCACAGACAAAGGTGGTGACTGGGAGAAGCTTCTAGCCGGGCAGCCAGGTCCTGATTCTGCCTCTGATCATCTGTGTGACCTTGGAAATGGCCTTTCCTCCCTTGAGCCTCAGCTCCCCTTCTGTAAAACAGAGACTATGACACCTGCCTTGCAGGGAGGGCGCTGTTCTGAGGACCAAGAGTGGACTGCGAGGCATGGCGGCCCCAAGGTGCAGAGTGGATCTGCGCTCCAGCATTTTCATGGCTGGGACCTTTTGGAAGCAGGTCACCAGGCCTTTCCGGGGCAGTCTGAAAAGGCAAGCTTTAGGCCAGTAGCCTGATGTGTAACCATTATACCACCAGGGACTCCACTCTGAGCATTAAGTCAGGAAAGATACTGTGCTGCATCAGGCGTTAAATACCCAAGCATCTTGGTTATCTGGTGCTCCTGTGACAAAACACACGAGTGGGTGCCTTTAACAAATTCATGTTCTCACAGGCGGAGGCTAGAAATCCAAAGTCAGGTGCCAGCCATCTCTCTGCCAGTTCTGCGGGAAGGTCCTTGTCTCTTCAGCTTATTTCCGGTTCCTTGGCTATCGCCATGGGGCTGGACATCTCTCCTCCCTACCCCTGCTTGCTCAATCTGCTCCATTTATATCTTGTAAGAGATGACTCAAGACACACCCTACACTCATCCTGTCTCATTAACACAACAAAGGCAACCCGTTTCTAAATGGGATTATAACCACAGGTCCAGAGGTTAAGGTTTGTAACACATATCTTGAGGCTCACCGAGGTCTCCAGAGCCGACAGCAGGGCCAGGCACCTTAGAAGTTTTAGTAAAAGGCTGCTGAATGAATGAATGAACTCAGAGGAATCCAAGTTTAGGGACGAAAACAATAAACTCCAATATCAGGGATCCCATTGGGGAAGAAAGCCTAATCAATAAAAACGTCTTGCAGCTAGATGATGGTGATGATGATGATGATGAAGATGATGACAAGTTAGCACACTCCCATTCATTTAGCACTTCCTCTCTGGGAGGTTCCCCAACCCTTTTTTTTTAATCTTGGCATCAGATTCTATAAGAGCACCCGTGTTTGGACGGCTGAGTACGTGCTTTGAAGTTTTAACCCATTTCATCTTCAAAGGCACGACTTGCACAACGCCAAGCCTACGCCTACCAAACCAAAAGCAAACCTGTTGCTGTCAAGCCGATTCTGACTCATGGCGACCCCATGTGTTGTCACAGAGAACTGCTCCACACGGGCATCGTAGCTGTAATCTTTACGTGAGCAGATCACCAGGCCTTTCTTCTGCAGCCCTCCTGAGTGGGTCTCAACTGCCAACTTTTAGGTTAGTTGTTGTTACATGCTGTTGAGTCAGACACAACTTGTAGCAACCCCTCCTTGGGTTTCCGAGGCAGTATCACTATGGAAGTAGATTGTCCAACCTTCCTTCCGAGGAGTGGCTGGTGGGTTTGAACCGCCAGCCTTCTGGTTAGCAGTCAAGTACCTTAGGTCCTACGCCACCAAAGCTCCTGGACTTGTCACTAGTGGACGGTATATTTTTAATGATTGTTCGTTTGAGTCCCCTACTAAGATATCACTTTCACTGAGGACAAGGGTTCTGTCTTAGAAGTCATCAATACTGAAAAGTCCCATGGATTTCCAGAAGAATGAACACATCTGTCCTGGAAGTGCAGCCAGAATGCTCCTTGGAAACAAGAATGGCCAGACTTCGTCTCACCTACTTTGGTCATGTTGTCAGAAGGGACCGTTCCCTGGACGGGGGTATTGTGCTTGGTAAAGTGGAGGGTCAACGAGAAAGGGGAAGGCCCTCAACAAGATGGACTGACACAGTGGCTAAAATGATGGGCTCAAGTATAGCAGGGATTGTTAAGGCTGGCGAAGGAACGGGCAGTGTTTCATTCTGTTGTACACAGGGTTGCTATGAGTTGGAGAGGACGCGACAGAACCTAACAACAGAAGTGACTAGTATACAGTAGGCGCTCAACAAATGTTTGTTGAGTGAATAAATTTGCCACTCTGAGATGCCCTTTTTACAAAGGAGGAAACTGAGGCACACAGAAGCTGAGTCATCGGGTCGCACACCTAGTGATTGGCAAAGGTGGAATCACCCCGGGCGGTAAGCCCTCAATAAACACCCAGTAATAGTGGCAATTACAATTACTAATCGCTTACTCTGTGCCAAAGTTTGCGCTAACTCCTCTAAGTGGGTTATCTAGCCCAGTTCTAACAATCACCCGTTGGCCTGACACTGTTGATACTTTCAGTTTACACGGCAGCCGCCCGAGGTCGCCCAGCGGGGCAGAGGCGGGGCTGGGGTTCGAACCTGAGGTGCCCTCTGCACCCCCTGAAACCTCGATCCGGCCTTCCAGCCGCGGTCCACTCCTATTCCCCTCTAGGCCCGGCGCTCACCCCGGGACTTGGGTCGGGGCCGCGTGTCCACAGCTCCGCCACCATCTCCGTATGCAGAAACTCGAACAGCACCGCGTCCGCCATGCGCCAGCCTCGCGCGCCAAACGACAACGAACTGCTCCTTGCTCTAATTGGCCCGACTGAGCAGGTCCCGCCTCCTGCATCCCTGAGCGTGCCGGCCTACTCCAGCTTCCATTGGTCTTTTAGACTAGCCCCGCCTTCTACGTGAGCCAGAAAGAACAGGGGGAGGGACCATACCTACATTCACTGTCCGTACGCAGCCGCACGTGAGGGCCACTGCCGACCTTAACCTCTGTCCTTTCCCTGTTTCCGGACCCTTGAGTATTTCTATTGAACTGATACATCTGACATAACTCGTTTGTTAAACCGTTTGTCCACTACAAACTCTCCTTTGCAGCACAATCCGGAAGCGCCGAACCAACGGCTTCTTATTGGTCATGCCTCCATTCACGTGACTTCTGAGCGCGCGCGCGCATACACGCTCAAAAAACAAAAAAACAAAAACCTAGTCCTGAGCATTTGCTTCCTGATTGGTAGGTGCGTTGTCACGTGACCTGGCCGCCAACGCCTCTCACCATCAGCGTTTAGACTCTGCTCTTCGGCTAGGTGGTGGATCGCTCAGGCCCGGAGCTCCCGTGACCCGGTACGGTCTTCCACTGTAGTGCCCCCAAATAGTGCACCCTCCCCAGAGTCCAGCCGGACTGTAACCCTTTCCATGATCTGGTCCCTAAAAAGCTCAGGAGCCTGTCTGCTGCCGCGTTTCAGACAGACTTGGACAAAGATACAGAGGGTGTGGCCTATGCTAGGAGGCTAATTACGCTGCAGCTCGATTTAAGACTGGGAATTCTTGGGCTCCAGGGCCTTGATTGAGCTAGTCCTCAGTTCTTCCATAGATATACTGACGGAGCTGGGGTCTAGCAGCCCCATCACCACCGGCAGGGGTGATGAATCCCAGTTTATAGTAAACAGGCCCAACTAGGGGAAGCGGTTGGCTCCCAATCACCCAGAGTCAGTGGAATGGAGGGGCTTAATCTGTTAAGTGACCATGGCCCAGACAGGCTCAGAACCAAAGCCTGAAACCAGACCCAAGGGGCGGGGCGGGCGCACCAAGGCCTGAACGCATCGCCCCAGGTCCAGAGCATGCAGGAATGGGGTTAGACCTCAGGGTGACAGCGCGATGGCAGGGAGGCCACACAAGGGACAGTCAGTCTCCCGCCTCTCATGCCGTCCCTCCGCCCCTCTTCTTCCTAGCTCAGAGCCATGGCGTCCCAGGGCCGTCGGCAGAGGCCACCGCGGAGACCCGAGACGGTGGTGCCCGGGGAGGCTGCGGAGACAGACTCAGAGCTCTCGGCGTCCTCGTCAGAGGAAGAGGAGCTGTACTTGGGCCCCTCAGGCCCGATGCGCGGCCGCCCCACGGGACTGCGGGTAGCCGGGGAGGCTGCGGAGACCGACTCGGACCCAGAGCCGGAGCCCAAAGCCGCGCCGGGGGACCTGCCTCCGCTCGTGGTGCAGCGGGAACAGGGTGGGGAGGCCTGGGGCACCGTGGAGGACCCGGCGCCCGCCCCAGCGCGCTCTCTGCTGCAGCTCCGGCTGGCCGAGAGCCAGGAGCGCCTGGACCACGACGTGGCGGCCGCAGTGAGCGGCGTGTACCGCCGCGCGGGCCGCGACGTGGCCGCTCTGGCTGCTCGGCTGGCGGCCTCGCAGGCGGCGGGGCTGGCGGCGGCTCACAGCGTGCGCTTGGCGCGAGGGGACCTGTGCGCGCTGGCCGAGCGCCTTGACATCGTGGCCGGCTGCCGCCTGCTGCCGGACATCCGCGGCGTTCCGGGGACAGAACCCGAGCAGGACCCGGGGCCGCGAGCCTAGCCGTGAACCGCTTGACTCTGCCTTTTTGCTGCCTGTGAGACCTGGCTCTGGCCCCTCCGCCGCCCGCCCCCTCCGTCGGTACTGTCGCCCTCAGGGCTAACCCCGCCCCCTGGAGGGCTAACCCCGCCCCCTGGATGACGCTCTGGGACATAGGTTCCCCCTGGCGCGTAGCCCCGCCCCGTTCCTTAGATCAGGTGTCTCTCGTTGATCCTGGCCCTTTGTTCTCTTTGTTCTGAGCCCTCGTTGGGATTCTTCTGTTTTAACCCCTGGAACCTGTCGTGCCCCATTATGCCTCGCGCACTGCCTTTCTGAGCTTGGTTTCTGCTTCCAGGGAGCTGTCCTGGTTCTTCCCACCAGAGCCCCTGGCATCCGTCGCTGACTCCTAGGGACCTTCCGCCATTCTCCTGGCTACGCCTCCAGTCCTAGCTCCACGCCCAGGGATATTCGCCCCTAGCCTGGGTCGTTTTTTGGCTCTCCAGAGCCCTGCCGGTTCCCTCTCCTGCTTCTGCCTCTTCTCGGCTCCTCTTCCTCTGGCTTAGCTCCACCCCCTCAGCCTGATCTTGCTTTTGGGTGCAGCTGTGTACATACCCTTCGCGCTGACTTGGCTTTATTGAACTTGTGTCATCCTGCTTATACGACCCTGTATGGTCTCCTTCATCAGTCCCGGGATAACGCCCTCGCGGTGCAAGTGTGGTTTCCTCTCCATTCTCCGGCCAAGACGCGCCCACCTCCCCGTTCTCTGGGCCAAGATGGCGTCTCCTGCCTCCTCTCCAGGCCAATGTGGCGGCCGCTCCTGACTTCCAGGCCTTGTGTGGTACGCCTCCCAACTCTCCAAATGCAAGGTGATTCTCTCTCTCAACTCACTAGGCCAATGTGGTGCTTTCTGCTGAAGCTGCAGGTGTAAGATGGCGCCCCCTTCTGTCTCCAGGCTGAAAGTGGCACCCTTTGGACACTTAGGGCCCGGTATAGATCGGCCCTGGTACTTTGGGCACCGCTTTCCAGAGAAGTACGACATGTACGGTCTTTACTGCATGCGCCCGGGATGCTAATCCCCCTGGGAGTTGATTCTGACTCACAGCGCCCCTGGAGGACAGAGTAGAACTGCAATGCAGAGTTTCCAAGGCTGCAGTCTTTAGCAAGCAGACTGCCACATCTTTGTCCGGTGGAGCAGCTGCGGGGTTCCTGGCCACCTTTTGGTTAGCACCCAAGTGATTAACCACTGTGCCATCAGGGACGCTGCAAGGTCTTGGATTTCTGACTCGGCTCAGGAGCTGAGGTTAACAGGTTCTTTATGCTCCTGCCCCCTTGATCCCTCTCCTGGTCCCAGCCCTAGCCCCTCAACCTTGTTCACACTTTACCAGTGGCTGTGGAGTCAGTTCCGACTCATGGCTACCCCATCTGTGTTGGAACAGAACCATTGAGTTTTCAATGGCTGAATTTTTCAGTAGATTGCCAGACCTTTCTTCCAAGGTGCCTCTGGTCAGACTGGATCCTCCAAGCTTTGGATGAGCAGCCAAGAGTGTTAACTATTTTTACATTCCTCTTCTGTCCTGCCCTGAAGCTGAGCTCTGCACCTCCGGGATAGAAAGGTGGAGACGAACCCTCTAGGGCGGACTCATTGAAACTCAGAACAGGTACTGATCTGGTCCTCTGCTCTGTCTCCTGCCCGAGGTGGGAGTGCATCTGTTGGTGACCTCTGAGAATGCTGGTACCCAGAGAGGGCCCCCCCCATGCCTGCCTTACTGAAGGTGAAGCTGCAGTGGGGAAATCAAGGCCTCCTGGGTTCTGTAGCCACTTGTCTCCTGATCAACATGCATTTATCGAGCACCTGTTGTATGCCTGCCTGCGCTGAGGGTACAGCAGCCAGTCTCTGCCCTCACGGAGCCCGCGGTCTATGGGGGAGACGTTAATAAAATCTTCTTATAAATTAATGGGTTCCTTTATAATGTTGTTGTTGTTGTTGTTGTTAGGTGCCGTCGAGTCGGACCTGACTCATAGCGACTCCTCCTTGGGTTTCCAAGGCAGTATCACTACGGAAGTAGATTGCCCAACCTTCCTTCCGAGGAGTGGCTGGTGGGTTTGAACCGCCAACCTTCTGGTTAGCAGTCAGGTGCCTTAGGCACTACGCCACCAGAGCTCCAAGGGATGCCTAGCCCACATATATTGAAACGTGACATGGACCTTCCCCCAGAGCCAACAGAGAAACACTGCCCCTGCAGCTCACACCCTGGGTTGTAAAGATTCTTTTTTTTTTTTTTTTTTTTAAGGAATTGAGCTTGCTTTTATTTCATTTTTAATTTCCTTAAAATTTTATTTCTTTTGTTGTTGAGAATATACACAGTGAAGTGCACACCAGTTTGACCGTTTCTCCGCTACAGTCCACAGACCCTGAGACATTCTTCGTCTGGTACAACCAACCGTCCTCACCCTCCTTTCCTGAGTTGTTCCTCCTTCATTCACGTCAACTCCCTGCCCCCGAGGTTCCCACCTAATCTTTGGAGTTGCTATTGTCATTTGATTCCGTGTAGATCTTTCTTAAAAGAGCCCGGTGCTCAAGGCACACTTTCTTCACAAGTTCAGCTCAACTGTTGTTTGGTATTGAGAAGCGGGAAGCCAGGAACGACATGATGAGGTGTGTGTTTGGGGATGCTGACCCTGGCGCTGCTGAGCCCGCAGTATGGCTGCCTCTGAAAGTTACTGGTTCGGAAATCAACAAGCATACTTTTCAATGTAGTTCAAATAACGTGCCAGTATCAGCAGCCCGAGGAGCTCTGGTGGCATAGTGCCTAAGGCACTTGACTGCTAACCTGAAGGCTGGCGGTTCAAACCCACCAGCTGCTCCTCTAAGGAAGGTTGGGCAATCTACTTCCATAGTGATCCTGCCTGGGAAACCCATGGAGGGATTGCTATGACTCGGGTCCGACTTGACAGCACGTAACAACAACAATCAGCAGCCCAGAACCTTGGATTCGAACAGCTTCCAGTCCAGGAGGAGGCGGGCTGTTTAGAGAGAAGTAGAAAACCCACTGCCATTGAGTCAACCCCATGTGTTACAGACCAGAAGTGTGTTCCATAGGGTTTGTGTGTATGTGTTTTGGGTGAAAATGTGCACAGTAGATTAGGTTCTCATTTGACACTTTCTGCACACATTGTTCAGTGACATTAGTTAGCGTGTTTCACAGATCGTCCACATTCCTGTAATTGCGTTCTGGTTGTTCCATTTCCAGCACTCTAGTTTCCCTGCCCCCTTATCTCCTCATCTTTGCTGTGGAGTCATTGTTGACCTTTTGGTCTCATACAGATGGTTTTTAGTGGAGCACCATACTCTCAGGTAATATTCTTTATTTTTGTATGCCGATCTATTAATTTGCTAAAAGGTGACCTCAGGATAGTTTCAGTTCAAGATTTAAAGGGTATCTTAGGGAGTCCTCTAGTCTCAACTGCTCCACTAAGTCTGGACTTTTTAAGAATCTGACTTCTGTTCCGTGTTCTCCCATTCCATCAGAGTCCCTCTATCATGGCTCTGAATAGAGAGATCAATGTTAGTAGCTGGGCACCGTCTAGTTCTTCTGGTCTCAGGGGAGATAAAGCCATGGCTCGTGTAGGCTGTTAACCCTGTAGACTGGTTTCTTTTCTGAGACTTGGTTTCCTTTCTCTTTTGCTCCTGTTGAGTAGAAACCAATAGTTGTGTCTTAGGTGGCTGCTCACAGCTATTAAGACCCCAGGCACTACTCACGTTACTAGAATGTAGAACATGGGCTTTGTGAACTATATTATGCCAGTGGACTGAGTTGTCCCTCCATTGGGTCCTCTTGGCTGTAAACCTGACAGAAGATCTCCAGACCTCTCTTCCACAGCACAGCTGGGTGGGTTTGAAATTGCAATGTCGTTTATTGGTCCAGTTGTGAGGATTTTTGTTTTCTTTATGTTGACGTGTAATCCACACTGAAAACTGTAGTCTTTGCTCTTCATCAGTAAGTGCTTCAAGTCATCTTCACTTTCAGCAAGCAAAGTTGTGTCATCTGCATATCGCAGGCTGTTAATGAGTCTTCCTCCAATCCCGATGCCTCATTCTTCTTCATACAGTCCAACTTCTCTCGAATTATTTGCTCAGCGTGCAGATTGAATAAGTATGCACACCTTCCCTGATTTTAAACCATGCAGTGTCCCCTTGTTCTGTTTGAACGACAGCCTCCTGGTCTATGTACAGGTTCCTCATGAGCACAATCAAGTGTTCTGAAATTGCCATTCTTCCCAATGTTATTCATAACTTGTTAGGATCCTCAGGGTGAAATGCCTCAGGGCAACACAGAAACCACCACAGTATGACAGACAGACTGACAGACAAGGGTGGCTGTATTCTATCAGGTGTGAGTAAGTCACTAAGTCCAGCCAAGATACAACAGGGAGGAGACACGGGCCCCTTGTTGGGAGGGCCTCTGAATGTGCAGATACGCTCTGAAACCACCACTAAGTGTCTCAGTCTCTTAGTGCTGCTCTAACAGAAATACCACAAGTGTGTGTCTTTTTAACAAACTTCTTTTCTCTCAGTCCAGGAAGCTGGATGTCTGAATGCACGGTGCTAACTCTAGGGGAAGGTGTTCTCTGTCCATCTTGGGGGAAAACCTGTCTCAATTTCTCGGTCATTCTTCTCAGCATTCCTCGGAGATCTCCACATGGCATTTATTTTCCCTCCCTTTGTGTTTCTGTGTGTCTGAGCCCAATCTGCTTTTACAACTCTCAAGCCATTGGCTTAAGACACACCCTACACTGATACTGGCTTCATTAACATAAAGAAAACCGCATTCCCACCTGGGGTTACATCCACAGCTATGTTGTCCTTGTTGGACGTCATGAGGAGTCCCTTCCGACTCACAGCAACCCAGCGTACAACAGGGAGAAACACCGCCTGGTGCCGCACCCTCCTCACAGTTGTTGTTTGAGCCCATTGTTGCAGCCACTGTGTCATTTCCATCTCATTGAGGTCTTCTTCATCCCTGAC